TTGGCTTCGATGCCGCGCTCAGACACAATGTATCCAAGAAGCTTCCCCTTTGGAACTCCAAAAACACATTTTTCAGGATTCAATTTGATATTGAACCTTCGGAGGTTTATGAATGTTGTGGCCAAATTTGCGATCAGGTCGCTAGCTTGAGCCGTTTTCACCACTACGTCATCTACATAGACGACGATTGTCGGTTTCGGCCACCCAACTTGGTCAGGCTGGTTGGGTGGGTCGATTTGGTCGGTGAAGTATCGCTGCATGCATCGTTGATAGGTGGCGCCGGCGTTCTTCAGACCGAAAGGCATGGTTACATAGCAGTACGAGCCATATGGGGTGATGAATGAAGTCGCGACCTAGTCGGACTCTTTCATCGTGATCTGGTGGTAGCCTGAGTAGGCATCCAAAAAGGAGAGGATTTCGCATCCTGAGGTAGAGTCGACTATCTAGTCCATGTGTGGCAAAGGAAAATGGTCCTTTGGACACGTCTTGTTGATGCCAGTATAATCAACATACATTCTCCATTTCCCAGTCTTCTTTTTCACAAGAACAGGATTAGCTAGCCAATCGAAGTGGTATACCTCTTTGATGAACCTGGCTGCTAGGAGTTTGGCGATCTCCTCGCCTATGGCCATGTGCCTCTCATCGTCAAAGCGACACCGATCCGCACCGTCTTGATCGGGTCAGCGGGGTCGATCCCCACCGCCTTGGTTTCCTCAGTCGGGTGGAAGGCAGTCGAGGAGGTCGGCTTGTTGCAGTCTAGGACTGCTGGAGTCAATGAATTCCTGAGCTCCGGGAGCTCAATGGAGTTGATGACGGCCGTGGCGAGCTCGTAATGCTCGTGGTCGCATGTGTAGGCGTGCGAAAAGGTGCTACCCATGGTGATGATGTCGTTTGGTCCTGGCATCTTCAACTTGAGGTAGGTGTAGTTGGGGATCGCCATGAACTTAGCGTAGCATGGCCGCCCCAAGATGGCATGGTAGGACCCTAGAAAGTCCACCACCTCGAAGGTGAGGACCTCCGAGCAGAAGTTGGCTCGGTCACCAAACGTGACGGGTAGGTCGATCTACCCGAGTGGGTACGCCTGCGTCCTTGGGATCACGCCGTGGAAGGGAGAGCTCACTGGGCAGAGCTCTGACCGGGGGATGCTCATGGTGTCGAGGGTGTCGACATAGAGAATGTTGAGGTCGCTGCCTCCATCCATCAGCACCTTGGTGAGGCGCTTCTTGTGGACGATGGGGTCGACGACGAGCGGGTAGCAACCCAGTCAAGCGACGTGGAAAGATGGTCTCTCTGATCAAAAGTAATCGGGGAGTCCGACCAGCTAAGGAAAGAGGGGACGACCGTCTCGGTGGCACATGCCTCTCTGTAGCATACCTTGTGCTGGCGCTTGGAGTGATGGCATCGGATCCCCCAAAGAACATGAGGCATTCCTCAGGGTCAGGGAAGCCACCATCATCCTTGCCCGCCATGCCTCCTTTCTTGGCCGCCTCCTCCTTGCCCTTCCCTTCCTTTGGCTTGCCGGCCTATCGCAGAAAGCGCTTGAGAAGCTCATAGTCCTTATAGAGGTGCTTGACGGGGTAGGCATGGTTGGTGCATGTACTCTCCATGAGCTTGTCGAAGTGGTCAGGCTGGCCCTGCTGGGGCTTTCTGCCCGCATGATCGGCTGTGGCGACTAAAGCTGGGTTGGCCGGTCGGCACCGATCCTTCTTATTCTTCTTGACCCTTTGCGTCGAGGGGCCCTACCAGGGACCAATACTAAGGTACCCAAAGAGGAGCTAATAACCATCAAACATTTATTCTTCTGAGCAGTCAAGAGTGCGACTACAGCTCCAACCGACCCCTAGGTGCACAAACTCGGCCTTGCCCGACCCCCAAGGATTGGCTTTGCCTCACCCGACACCGAGGCCATGGACTCCGCCTCACCTAACCCTTGAGGGTGGCTCCGCCTTGCCCGACCCCGAGGGTTGGCTCTACCTCGCCCGACACCGAGGCCGCTGGCTTCGCCTCGTCCGACCCCCGAGGGTTGGCTCCACCTCGCCCAACACCAAGGTCATGGGCTCCACCTCACTTGACCCCTAAGGGTGGCTTGGCCTCACCCGACCCTCGAGGGTTGGCTCTGCCTCGCCTGACACTGAGGCCACGGGCTCCGCCACGTTCGACCCCTGAGGGTTGGCTCTGCCTCGCCCGACACTGAGGCCGCGGGCTTCACCTCGCCCGACCCCTGAGGGTGGCTCTGCCTCACCTGACCCCCGAGGGTTGGCTCTACCTCGCTCGACACCGAGGCCGTAGGCTCTGCCTCATCTGACCCCCGAGGGTGGCTCCACCTCGCCCGACCCCTGAGGTTGGCTCCGCCTCGCCCAACACTGAGGCCGTGGACTCTGCCTTGCCCGACCCCCGAGGGCAGGCTCTGCCTCGCCCAACACTGAGGCCGTGGGCTCCCCCCTCCCAACCTCTAAGGGCTGGCTCTGTCTCGCCCGAGTCTTGGGTTCACGCTCCGCCTCGCCCGGCCTCTTGGGAGGAACTCTGCCTCGCCCGACCCCAAGGACGAGGGCTCCATCTCGCCCAACAGAGACCCATACCGCCGCCAACCACTCTAGGTCCAAGCGTATGGGCCTGGGTCAAAGCTCTAACACTAAGGAAGAGCCTGGCACCGAGGCCTATGACCCACGATGGGACATACCTGGGGGTTCATGTTAGGAACAGCATCGGGCGTACCGATACTGTTCTACCGAACCCCCATACGAACACTAATGGGCGTGTCAGTTCACCACAACGTCCACCAAGACGGAGTGGAGCACCATGACCGGTAGATGATGCCTGCACATGGCACCAGCGACAGACAGGGCCACGATGGGAAGCTGTCCCTATTGACGTCTATAGGGTCGACGGGACCCATGTGAAGGAAAACAAGGACCCAGCGATCCTGGAAGACTTCTTCTCCTTCTCATTCTCCCCTTTTCCCTCGACTATAACCCGTGCTTTCCCTTGGCCTATAAAAGGGAAAGTAGTGCATCCTACAAGGGGCATCGCATAGCGTCCGGCTGGACTCGACTCGAATTGAGCACATCATAACACATCACACCGATTCGGACTCAAACCCTAGATCGATTAGAACACACAAGCACACAGTAGAGAAGCGACCGAGCCCTCGTCTCCCATTCGCTCCTCTTAGTGATGTGACATCATTTTGCATAAAACAAGGAATACAAGTGCAAGTGCAGGATATGAATGACTTCTATGTGGACTATATTCCATCTTGTGCTGAGAATGAACTATTAGTTGAGGATCACTATAGATATGACATTTTTACGGTTATTTGTGATCAACAATTACATGATTTAAATAGCAGGTTCAGTGAACAAGCCAGATCTTCTCATCTTGTGATCATATTTGGATCCTAAAGATTCATTTAGATCATTCAAAATTGATGATGTTTGCTTGCTAGCTTCAAAGTTCTATCATGTTATTTTTTCTGAACAAGAAAGAAATAACTTGAGACATCAATTACAACATTATGAGCTTGATGGCCTCACAAATCCACACTTCCTGAATTTATCAGCTATTGCTGATATGTGCCGTCAACTAGATGAAACTAGAAAATCAAATAACTATTATTTGTTTGATAGGTTATAAAACGTCCCTCACTTTTTTTTCTCTTGACCCATTTTGACCATTTTTGTAGATGGCAAATACTAAGCATTTTTTCCTTTGATAAATTGATTCAAAATTGATTTTGCATGTTCTAACTCTACTAGTTTAGACAGCTACATCAGAACGTGCATTCTCTGCAATGAAACTTGTTAAGACAAGGTTCTGAAATAAAACGGCAGATGAATTTCTAAGAGATTGCATGATAATCTACATTGAGAAATGAGAAGGAGATTGCAATTGAGTTCGCAACTAATACACTTTGGTAATTTCAATGATATAAAAAAGGTTAGTTCCAAGGAATATTTTTGCCTACAACAGCTTTTATGTAATGAAAATATGAAATCATGACTTTATGGGTTACATTTCGTAAAGTATATATAGTTAATTTTTATCTTCCCTGTTAGTTTTGTTATAAAATTCTATTATATTATATTAATCGTACTTGCAGCTTGCAAGCACAATGTCGAATACTCCGCTTCTCCAACCTCTAGCTTCTTATTACAATGAAATAGTCGCCTTTCTTAATTATGAAATATTATTAACATTTATAATACAAAAATTAACTGACTAACAATTAGTCCTATGCATGCAATCGGCCCCTTAGACATCTTGATAGAATATTTATTTTTGTATTTTATTTTTGTATTATGAATGTTAATATTATATTCTTCTATAAACTCAGAACATTTTATATTTTAGAATGAAGAGGGCAGTTGCTGATTGTGTTACCGTATTTGACCACGTACGAGAAAATTGGAACAAGAAAAAGAGGAAATACCACCTGGCAAAAAGCAAGCCAAACAGGCAAACAAATCCATCTTCCTGCCATGCCTTGCATGGCTAGGCATTCTTTGCGCAGGTAGACTAGGCTAGCAAGAGATCAACACAGACACACAGTCCTGTCTTACAGCCTAGAGACAAGAGGACGATGACAAAGCGAGAATGACACGCAACCAGTTAATGCCAAGATAGCGGTAGCAGGGGCGTGGCCGTCAAGCAAGAAGCGCTCAAGATCCGTGGCTTGCCTACCTGGCTTCGAATTCAGATACAGATGAATGACTGCGACAACATACATTCCAGGAAAACCCATACGTAACGTCGACCAGTCAGTTGCTTCTAAGCAACCAATGTTAAAGAACAGCTGCCTGGCCATGTAGTTTCGTGCTCATCTCAAATATGCTCAGTCAGCAAATTTACAATCTGCAATGCATTTTTTGGTGTATTTCCCTGGGAGCTCTGCCAAATCGGCCTTGGCTAGTTGGCTACCACAATAAATCAATAGTTATGCATGAATAAATGAATCGAATGAGTTAAAAAAAAAAGATGAATCTAATGTACAAACACACTGGTCAGTTGGGTCGGATGACTGACAGGACGCCCAGGAAGAGCAGCTTTGCCGGCAACAAGAAAACGACCAGCAAGTGCGCGTGCCTCCGGAGCTGCCTCAGCACATGCCTCCGGTCTATGGTGGCGAGCGTACCATACACCTCAATGGGCCACTGCAGAAGCCGCCGTCGCCTCTCCTTCTCCGCTCTCATCTCCTTCCGCAGCACCGCTCGTATCGACCTTAGATACGAGTGCACGTCATGGTCTCTGTAGACAGTACCCTTGGGACCATAGGCACCAGCTTCCCTGAGGATCTCGAGGGGATGCGGGGAGTTGAAAAAGGCAGACAATGCAGATCGCAGTACCGTGGATGAAGTATCTGAATCCACTGCCTGTCCGCCAATGAGGTACAGGCCACTGCCTGCTGGAAGAAGGTGGTGATGGGGGGACAGCTTCTCATCTGGTTGCAATATGAACACCTCACCCATAGGGGCATACAACAGCTTCTGCAATTAAGTCACAGTAAAATGGGTTATACTAGTACCTACCTCTTTAGGTCAAAACTGCAACAGCTGAAGTCACAGTGGATAAATGACACTAACTATGGAAAATAGAATGCAGCCACAGCAAAGGTGCCCAAAGGCTATACTTGATCGATGATCTTTCCTCTGCAAAAATACAATCTCACCCTGACTTGAGAAAGTTAACCGCTATAATGTACTGGTGTATTCAACATGTCAACCATAATTGCATCTATGACAATGCATAATTTTCTATCAAATAGGGAATTCAGATAACGAACATTCTATGATCCAGGTTCTATAAATATTGAATATGAAATTCAGATAGCAAAGATTCTATGATGCAGATAAGAGAAATGAAATTTGGCTAGCAAATATATATGGATTTACCTGGTTTGTAAGGCAAGGGTGACTGCGGAAGTTTCCATTGACAAGCTTCAGGATGCTAGCAATATGATCCGGGTAGTGACAAGAAAATGCTCGAGGAACAATATCCCGGTGCAAGGTAATGGACTGCACGTGACTTTTTGGCAAACCAAGCTTTTGAAGCAAGTAATCACCACCACACATGACAGATGGTGAACCAAATGTTATGACAGGTAGTAACGAAGCAGCTGGAGCTACTCCTCTTATTAGGAACATCAGGTTCACAAGCAAAGCCAGGCTTCCACCAAGAGAGTGCCCAGTGAATCGTAACCTTACAGATTCGCCATGACTAATAAAGTGAGATTTGACATATGGTAGCATTTGCCGGTATATCCCTTTGGCAGCCTCATATATCCCCCTGTGAACGAGCACGTCAAGACCCTGTTTGAAAAACGGAACAAATGGAATTACATAAGGCAAGGGTTCCTTCAGTTAATACAAGATATGCTACATATGTCATGAGAAATCATTGCATGATGATAAATGTGAGCAAGTAAATGTCTAGACCTATGGGCCCCTTTTGTAAAGATTACGGGAAGGCTTCTACTATTGAAGTGAAAAAGTGATAAGGGATGTGTAGTATAAGCTTCCCAAACCAGAATCTAATATCACAGAACTAGACTGAATTTGTAGAAGTATTCATTTAATATTCAATATTATTGGACATTAACAGGATGCAAGAAATATTATTTGATAAATATTTTCTAGGCTCCATCATATACTTGAGATGACTTGTAAAATGTGAGACACATGAAACTATAAATCAATTTAACCAGCAATTTCAAACACTTGAGATGACTTACAAAGTACCTCAAATTTAGTTGGTTCAAATAGAAGGTTTGCCTGCCATGAAGCAATTGTCTCTGAGCCCTGCAAATTTAAATAAAAGAACAACGACCAATCAGACTACAAAGCTAATGGCAGGTACTAGTTTTACCTGAAAAAAAAAGAACAATGACTAAACAGTTTTCTCTGAGCCTCACATATAACACTGGCCATTATTTGCTCTACCTGAATCACAAAATATCTTGTGCTGCTTTGATTTTCATCACAAATGAACCATTCACAAGGGCAAGATCTTGAAGAGTTCAGGTCATCTGCAACCGCCTGCTTTGTTTCCTCCTTTGCAGCAACCATCGAGGTCATTGAATTTGTTGTGGCCACAAACGAAGCCTCGTCCATTGTCAGACCTTCAGTTTGCGCATTTACAATGGCCTGGATAGTACGATCTCGCCTACCCTCACTCTGAGAACCGAAGGGAAGAACTTCCATGGCTCGAGATTGCACATAGGAAGCAGCAGATGCAGCAATTCGGTAAGCTGCCAATGGATTTATCCCTTGGCCACTTTGGTGCTCCTGCATTCTCTCATGTTCAGAGGTAGTGCCATATGTTGACTCTTGTTCATCGGAATGTCTGGACGGCGTGCCTCTGTTTGTGTTCTTCCTGTCATTGGGATTTTGGTCCTGGTTACAAGGATTTGGAAGTTTTGCCCTCTCTTCAACTGACGATGTTACAAACGTCATGTTGTACTTCTGGAGATACCTTGGCTGAGATGGTGAAGAAGTAGCAAATAAAAATATGAGAACCAGGACACAGGAAAATCTATCTACATGATGCAAATTAGACAGCTAGTAAACAATTAAACATGTTGTCCTGAGTAAGAGTATATATCACAACAAAGTCCAAATTTCAAATTGATATATTAGAATAATTAGCTTCGGATTGTAACCACAAACAGGAGAATTAGCTGACAATACCAGAAAGCAGAGGCCCGAACTTTGCAGATCAAAGGGAATTTTAGAAAAGTCAGAATGTAAGAATCAACAGAGATGCTCAACTTTCCGTTAAACAGTACGTCAAAGATCTTGTTTTTGTACTTCTATCCAATCTGATGCTGAACAAAAGTCAGATCTCAGAAGATTTCAGAATTTCACAATTTCTCATTGTAAAAAAAACTCGAACAGGGGTTAAGACTGCCCCCGCGGCATTTTAAATAAGAAGAAGGACCTTCTCACCCGGCCGAGAAAACCCCCGAACCCCCGCCCCCACCCTTACACGGTGGCTTTCCGTCGCCCAAGTGAAAATTGGGCCGGTGCCTCTCCAGTGCTTTGGTTATGGGGATGGACCAGGGGATTTTTTTTAACCTCAGCCTGAAATTTGCTCTCACAGGGAGTCAAACCCAGGACCTGAGGAGTGCCGCTGGATCACCTAACCGTTTGAGCTAGGCGCCCTTTGGCAATTTCTCATTGTAAGCCTTAATCTAGAAAGCAGAAATGCAACGTTGGTAATTTTATGATGAAAAAAAAAATCAACCCCGTTTCAGAGAAATCAACTACTACGAAGTCATTTACTTATGAATCAGTAGCAGACTTTTCCCCGCACGATCATGATCAAAAGACAAATTAACAGAAGTGGCCACGAAATCGAACGAAAGGAAAGGTCCTTATCGCGTTTGTTGTTACCTTGATCCGGGGGACCATGTAGGCGAAGTTGCAGAGTCCGGACATCCTGGAGTACAACTTGGCCTCCGCGAGCGACACCTTCCGCAGCAACCTCGAAAACGCGGCGCGATCGAGCTCCTCCGCGTCAGACACCGAGCAGCCTTCCTCGCTGTCCGGCCCGGCGCCGCACCTCCCCGCGCACCGCTGGCTACTATTCCCGTCCCCCTCGCCGGAACCAGGCCCCTCGTCGCGCGACGGCGATGGCGGCGGCGGCGACGACGACTGCACGCACAGTATCTGCAGCACCCAGTTTCCGCCGCCGCCGCCCCTGCCGTCGTCCTCCCCCTCCACCGCCCGCCTGCGACGCCGGTCCCTCGCCTCCTCGACGCCCGCCGCCGCCTCAGCAGCCACGGCGGCGCCCAGGGCATTCTCGGCGCCCCCGCCGCGGCGGCGCGGCCACAGGCCCAGCAGCGGGGAGTGGAACCCGGGGGCCGGGGAAGCGGCAGCGGCAGCGGCGTGCGGCGAGGGAGCAGGCGCGGCGGACACCGGCGCCGCGAAGGTTGGCAGCGGCGGCGGCCTGACGCCACCGGGCACGAATCTCAGGACGTCCATGGGTCGGGTCTGGGTGGCGCCTCCGTCCACCGTCCGTGTTATTTGGGCGGTGAGATCAAACCAGACGCGAAGGGAATTGGGAAATGGGAGGTAAAAGAAAGGGATGGAAGAATTTGCGAGTCTCTCGTCTCGGTGGCGCAAAGGATCCGAGTGCAGGAGAAGAAATAGGAAACGTGGCGCGGAGGGGCTGCGAGTGGCTATATACGGGGAGTAGTATGATGACACAGGGATTAGGATTCATTGCGCACGTGGATTTACTCATGGTGACCATTGCGTGTGGGTCACTGGTGGCGGTGACGTGGCGTTTCTAACGGGACTTTCGTGTTGTTTCTCTCTTTCTCAAAAGTCAAATGCTACTAGGGACGGCAGCTACGGGTCGCGTACTGTATCCGATCTGTACCTACGGGTGTGTGTACGGCTACTAAATTCTACCCGCAGGCATGGTGCGCGTATCCCGCTTGACGCTCCAAATACAAGAGATTTCATCAATTTTTTTGTTTTTGTCAATATCAATCGAACTTGATAGAGTCTGGACATCCGATCCGGACGCTAGCGTTTAGACGATGCCCGAGGAAGCGAGCGCCTAGCGCATCGGGCTCGCGAGCGAATGCACCAGCAGTAGGCCTGCACCATCTCGGATGTCATCCACGCTGTCAGCCGCTTCCCACGAGTATCCCATATGCAACAACCCGATCCACTTTTGAAATATCCAGATGCAACAGTTGCAGCATAAAAAAACACTGATGAAACACTTGAAACAAGCGTCTGAAACACATGCGAAAATGCATGAAAAACAATTTGAAAACCATTGTAAACATATACAACATTAGATGAAACACTTGCAAACATACATGTAAAACACCTTAAAACACTTGAAAATATATGCTTGCAACATGCATGTATATGCAACATCCAGATATACTTTTACAACATCCAGATGAAACACTTGCAACATACGACTGAAACAAATGAAATATTTGAAACATACACTTGAAAAATACATGTATAGCCATTACAATATATGCAACATCCCAATCTACTTTTGCAACATCCAGATCTACTTTTGCAATATCCAGATGAAACACTTGCAACATACATCTAGAACAGATGAAACGTTTGAAACATACACTTGAAACATACATGTATAGCCATTACAACATATGCAACATCCCGATTTACTTTTGCAACATCGATATACAACACTTACAACATACGTTTAAAACATACTTTTGCAACATGCACTAGTCAAGGGACGTTAATGGCCTAGCGTGCACCCAGGCGCAGGCGCAGGCCTTCCCTTCCTACCGACGTGCTAGGTTGATGGGGACGCAAGCACATGCCTCCCCTGCCTCCTCTTCCGCGATGGGCGAGGTGGATAGAGGCGTGGCACAGGCCACAGAGCAGCTAGGGATGGGGCACACTAGCATCCAGGATGGGCGTAGGTGCGGCGCCATCGCATAGGAAAAGGCCGTGGTGGGCGGGTGCGCTGCCTACGAAGAGCGGCCTTGCACAGTTGCGTTGGAGAAGACGAGCGATTATTTTAGGGATACGGAGGCGGATCGCAAGCGTGCTCGGAAACCGCAAGTAGAGTACGGGTACTGGGCGTCCGAAGGGATGGATGCTCCTATCATTAGCGAATATCAATCCAATTCATAAGTGTCCGTAGGGACAACAATGTCGCACGTTACCCTCGAGTACGAGTGTATGGAATTGACATGTTGAACAATTTCGTCGCGGATGGGTATTTTCTTCAACCATCATATCCAACTCGTTGTGATCAAAGTACTGAAAAGTTTGAATGCTTTCGTTTACACTCAAACCTTTTTGGGTGCTCTGCAGCAGTAAAGTTGTGTCCTCATGTTGCTACAACAACACGTGAGAGGAGAAAAAGACAACTAATAGTCGCAGTTGAACGGCTATTACAGTAGTGGGGAGATTTTCAGCTTGTTCGCTGGTTGGTTTCTGGACTGATAAGTTCGGCTGGTGTTGGTTTGCTGTGAGAGGAAAATACTGTACCATGGCTGATAAGCTCTGGCTGAAACCAACAAGCGAACATGCTGTTTGATTTTGAGAAAAGATAATTTATTCAGCTATTTATTTTCCCACGCCTTCTACTAAAGTGGATAACTTGTCTTGCTAAGTTCTGTACTCCCTCCCATCCGTTCACAAAAGAATGCAATTATGTTATCCGTGTCGGTTAATTGAGCTCAATTTTGATAAAGTTTATAGTAAATAATATTAATATTTATGTATCTAAATAAATTTATTTTGAAAATATATTCTATAACTAATCTAATGATACTTATTTTGTATAAAAATGCTTTGTACTTTTTTTATATAATTTAGTCAAAATTCAGACTGTTTGACTCCTCGAAATCCGAGGATTGCATTTTTTTGTGAACGGATGTAGTAGAAGATAAATGGCCACATCATATGAGGCGAGTTAAAAAAATATGAGTCACGACAAAAGTTAAGTCAACAGGTTAAGACGTTGCGCGGACTAAATTTTGACAGCAACCAAATACTAACTAAAATATAAACGTGATTGCCTAAGGTTAAGTTTGAGAAACTTAGTTGCTAGCTAAATATGCCCTCAAGTCATAATAGTTGTCTCATTGTCAATGAGCACAACAACTAATATTAAAAAATTAATTAGTCGTAAGTATGAGCTACTATGTTAAGTTGGATAATTCACCGCAAGAAGCCTAACTGGTTAAATTATGCCCAGTCCGTGAAAAATGACAACCATGGTTGAACATTCCCAAGGATGATGGTCACGCCGCTACCTCTGGTCGAGAATGCCAGGCACTCGAACAAAAGATCCCATCGGCGTTCAGCATCATGGTAGCGCCATTGCTGAAAATGAGATAATGAGCAACTCACACCTGACCAACACCGCTGTAAAAATGCATGCCACGTTGGCGTTACATGCCAACAAGGAATACACACATGGCTGGTATGCATCTATGATGCATGACTTAACAAGTTTAGAGATTCAAAATTATATTTTTAAAGTCTGTGGATCTCAGTAACACCCATAACGAGTTCAAAGATTGCTCGTGTATTTAACTTTAAAATTTTTAGTGGCAATTTGCTCTTAAAATAAACATCTTCCCCTTGTTAAAAAAGGCAAAATGGTCATTTTCATCCCTAACCTATTGCCCAAGACTCACCTTGGTCCCTGAACTTTCAAAGTGTCCGCTTTAGTCCTTAAACAATGGATTTGCAGGTCGATCTCGTCCATCCCCTTAATGGCTCGCCATGTGTCCAGGAGTACATACGACATGTCATTGCTACCCCTTGCTATCTCTTGCTATCTCCTCTACCAGCCGCCCAGGCTCACGGTGTTTTCTAGTCCACCGTTTCCTCCCTCTCATCCCCGTTTCCCCTCTGTCCATCCCTTGATCTCGTCCATCCGGTGCCGAGAAGGAAGAGTCGCATGGAAACAACGTAGATACTATGCTTAGCAGCTCCGGCATAAAATGGACACAAATGATTTAAACATATTTGATAGTTGTGCCGCGACTCCCCAGCTAATGGAGGGAGCGAAGGGCAGCAATAACATTTCGCATGTACTCCTAGACACATGACGAGCCATTAGGGGCATGGACGAGATCGCCCTATAAATTCATTGTTTAAGGACTAAAATGAACATTTTGAAAATCCAGAGGTCAAATTAAGCCTCAATAGTTTATGAACGAAAAAGGCTATTTCGCCTTAAAAAAAACACCCTCTTCTTTTCCGTGGTCTCATCCGTCGCATTTACAGCTCTGCCCTCTTCTTTCTTGCGCAGAAGGTCACACAAGCTAAAAAAAAACTGAAATCGACAGACGAAAAATATAATAAAGGAAATAAAAGAAATCGAAGCGAGGAGCCCGCGGGATGGCGATGGCGAGCATGGCGAGGAGGCGCGCGGCGGATGCGCTGCTGCGGCGGCCGCAGGCGGGGGCCTGGGCGTCGGCGCTGAGGGCGTACGCGACGATCGAGGAGACCGACGTGGTGGTTATCGGCGGCGGGCCCGGCGGGTACGTGGCGGCGATCAAGGCGGCGCAGTTGGGGCTCAGGACCACCTGCATCGAGAAGAGGGGCACCCTGGGAGGCACCTGCCTCAACGTCGGCTGCATCCCGTCCAAGGTACTGCCGCCCTACTCCTCCCTTTCCCTCTGTGCACTCCGTGCGCGATCCTGGTTGGTGGGTGAACGCGTTACTGTTGCGACATGGGATACTCGGAGCTTCTAGATCCATGCTTGCTCCTGCGTCAATTTGGGCGCTAGGGTTTGCATTTAAGGTCTGTTGCGTCAATTTTGCCCTTCTTAGTGGGGAGTCAATTTAATGGTTCATTCCAATGCTATGCATAGTTCAGACCTCTTTAGAGGTGCCGGTTAGTTTAACTGGGAGATGATTGGGTGTTGGATTGTTCGCTTTATCATTGGTGCTGGGTTGCGTGAGCCTGACTAGGTTGTGCGTTCGGGGCCCTGCTGGTGAGGTTACCGTGCTATTTGCTGGTACATTTTAAAATTGATTGATTGTTCATTGTTGAAATGTGTTGGTGAGGGTGTGATTTGTGTGACCTCCCTTCCATTTGGCTGTGGCTTGATGCATCGTTTGGATCTCATTTTGTATTAGGAACCATGCTATGTCTCGTTCATGTAGTAAATGCATGGGAAGCACGATTGAGTTCTTGTGTGTTTAGGCCTTCTTAATGCAATTATGTATGACAACTCCAGGTGTTTGCATGATATATTGCTGACAATAACCTGATCATAACAGAGAATGTTTTTTTCCCTCATGTGCTAATAATGTCTTACAAGTAATTGGTGTTCAGTTATTCTGTACTTTATTTACAATATTGCTGCTATTGTTTTTCCTAGGTATATTTTTTCTTGTAGTCCACTGCTTTAATTTGTTTGTAGATGGTTATCATTGAGCATGTAGTTGGAAGGTTTGTCAATTGCTCTTTGTTTCTTTACTCAGAGTGGGGCAATAAGGGCGGCTTCCAAAACTAAAACTTTTTCTCTTTTTTTTTTGTGTGTGTGAGTATCCAGAACTATGTGGAACCACCCTTGTTTTGCAGTGGTATTATATTTAACCTATAAAATGCCACATATGACATATTCGGTCTCTTTCTACTTATGGACGGGAAAGAAAATGTCAACTGCAATTTACAACTTACTAGTGGTGAAGCTAGATGCCAAATTCAAGAACCTTTGAGTCCTTGAGAGCTCGAGTTTTGTGTTTTTTTTGTTTCTGTTCCTATACTTTGTTCCTCTTCGAGTTTTCTCAATGACTGTAGTAAACTTTTATTCAACCTAACCCTTGTGAAGTTTGATTTAGGTGCTCAGAATCCCAAAACTTACTCATTCTATACATTTCTGGCGTGTTTTCTTATCCACATCAGCGCATGTGAAACCGTAATGTACAGCCTGATAAAACCATGTAGGTATGTCTAAGTATTCTTGGAGATGGTTGCTTGAACAATTGTTGCTGCAAACTCTGCTGAATTACCATTTTGATGACTTGGCTTGTTTGTTTTTAACATTGGCATGTGTAAACCCTGCAAATTAAAATTTTTAGTGCACATTTTAGCTGGCTGTAGCAATCCAAGGTTAAGTATATTGGCTTCTTCGTGATCATTAGCTGAAAAAGGTGTTTGTTTATTTTATTCCATACTATGATCATGGGACTTAGTAAAGCCTTACTTCATTGAGGTTGAGTAGTATTTCCCCTGAGTGCCTCATTGCAGCTAGAAGAGTTAAATTTCTGTTGCTTAATTAACAATGCTGACCCATGTACTTCAAAATTCCAGGCTCTTCTTCATTCGTCACACATGTACCATGAGGCAAAGAGTTCTTTTGCGCACCATGGTGTGAAGTTTTCCAATCTGGAAATAGATCTGCCTGCCATGATGTCGCAGAAAGACAAGGCTGTTGCTGGTCTTACAAAAGGTATTGAAGGCCTGTTCAAGAAGAACGCTGTTGAATACGTGAGAGGAATTGGGAAGCTTGTCTCCCCTTCTGAGGTAGCCGTGAACTTGCTTGATGGCGGGTGCACTACCGTGAAAGGAAAGAACATAATCATTGCTACTGGTTCAGATGTGAAATCGCTCCCTGGAGTTCATATAGACGAGAAAAAGATTGTATCATCTACTGGTGCTCTTGCACTTAAAGAAATACCAAAGAAGTTGGTGGTTATTGGAGCTGGATACATAGGTTTAGAGATGGGCTCTGTCTGGAACAGGCTAGGGTCTGAGGTTACTGTTGTGGAATTTGCTCCTGACATTGTCCCATCAATGGATGGAGAGATTCGGAAGCAGTTCCAGCGTATGTTGGAGAAGCAAAAAATGAAGTTCATGCTCAAGACTAAGGTAGTTGGGGTTGATACTTCTGGGAATGGTGTCAAGTTAACTGTGGAGCCTGCTGCTGGTGGAGAGCAGAGTGTGCTTGATGCAGATATTGTCCTGGTATCTGCTGGCAGAACACCATACACTGCTGACCTTGGGTTGGACACCATCGGTGTCGAGATGGACAAGGGTGGAAGAATCCTTGTTGACAAGCGATTTATGACAAATGTTAATGGGGTCTATGCGATTGGTGATGTGATACCTGGACCCATGCTTGCACACAAAGCTGAAGAAGATGGGGTTGCATGCGTCGAGTTCATCGCGGGGAAGGAAGGCCATGTAGATTATGATACTGTGCCCGGCGTGGTGTACACCCACCCTGAGGTGGCCTCTGTTGGCAAGACAGAAGAACAGGTGAAGGAATCAGGCATTGCCTATCAGGTTGGAAAATTCCCTCTATTGGCAAACAGCCGCGCCAAGGCGATTGATGATGCTGAAGGGTTGGTGAAGGTGGTAGCTGAGAAGGAAACCGACAGAGTTCTCGGTGTACACATCATGGCCCCTAATGCCGGCGAGATCATCCATGAGGCCGTGCTTGCACTTCAGTATGGAGCATCAAGCGAGGACATCGCCCGCACATGTCATGCTCATCCGACGGTTAGCGAGGCCCTGAAGGAAGCCTGCCTTGATACCTACACAAAGGCAATTCATATGTGATTGTAGATATGATTTGAACTGTGAGCGCAAAGCACTTCCCAAGATTTTGGAATAATTTTGTATGGATGTGGTCTTGAAACATCTACCTTTATCGTTCTTTTCCTTGGGAAACTGTGAGTTGCCTCCTTTGCTGCGGAATATAGTTACATTGTTAAATTCTCATGCTTCCTTGCTGCTGCATCAGATCGGTTCGGAGAAACCTGGTGTGGCTTGTACACCTTAGACTAGGGTTTCATTTCTGTTCATACAACCTGGGAGAAGAATAACATATCCTCTTTTGCAGTGGGCTTATGCCTGTCATCCCCTTCACTTCTTGATTCAAATATGTCTTATGTGAACGAATTGTAGATGTGCTTCTAGTGGCAATTTTCTCCCCCCAATCCTGCCCTGTTCATAACACAAGCGTTGTCCCTGAATCAGCTAACGCTCTCCTACTCCTAATTTTCAGTGACATCATTTTGTTACCAGCAATATGTTTGCTGATGCTGAGTTGGTGAGTCTAGTGAGTGAATTGCTGCCTCTATTCAAGTAGTGCTTGTTATTATTATGATAATGTTTGCTTCCTGCAAATTGTGTGACTATGTCTATATGTGAGGATAAGAGAGGACAGAACTAACTTGACAGCATGAAAGCGAGATTGACGTAGTGGGGCTATTTTTATCAGGCTTGTTACGCTTCAATCACATGGGGATGGCCTTCAAACAACACAAAATGCCTGCAAGTCTGTGAACAAAGAAACTAGTACTACATACAAAGAAAACTATTCATGTGATGCAACCTGGCGTGTAAACCGACTACTCTAATTGTGTGGACCCTCTATTTGGAACTCATGGATTTCGAAACATTTAACTATTCATTGAAATCCTTAAAACTTGTAAATCTTTTATGTCGCTTGATGTTGGCATGAACTTATAATTTCTACTATAATAGTTCGCTACAAGTTCTAAAAGTATATTTTATCTTTTTTATTAAATAAAAGATTAAAAAAATCTACTGGATTACGTGGAAAGCTGAATTGTTTGTTTAGTCCAAAATCATAATCCCTATTCAGGATCATCTCCACCCTTTTCTTCCCCCAGATATCCACAACTCTCTCTCTCTCTCTCTCTCTCTCTACTGTCTCCTCTCTCTCCCTATCCCCCACCCCCCTCTCTCTCTAGAGAGTAGACCCAGGAAAGAGGCGATGGATATGGCCATCGACACGCCATCGCCGGCGCCGCCGCCCACGCCGCCGGCGCCGTCGGCAGCGGCGGGGCGTCAGACGCGTGCGGCGGAGGCGGTGCGTCTGGAGCACCAGCTGGTGCGCGTGCCTCTCGAGTCCCTACGCGCCACCGCCCGCTCGAACCACCGCCTCGCCGAGAAGGAGATCGCCGCCGTCCTCTCCTCCTCCTCCGCGGCCCCCGCCGAGAGCAGTGCCGCCGCCGTCGACCACCTCACCTCCCTCGTCTCCCGCCTCCACGGCCTCAAGCGCAAGGTACTCCCCCCTCCAAATCCCACACCCGCTTCCTCTCCTCTATCTCGCAGAATCGAATCGTACATGGTCTGGAGAAGATCTTAGGGCTTTGATCTACCGTTTCATGTTTCTGATTTTCGCTGAAGAAAAAAATCGTGCCTTTGTGGTGTTCCCTGAGCGATTTGTTGGGGTTTTTTTTATGCCTTACAGATGGAAGAGGGCGCGCGGGCGGAGGAGCTGCAGGTGCAGCGCTGCCGGGCGCGTCTGGATCGGCTGGCGACTGCCAGCACCGGTGACGACGCCGAGTGGGAGGACATACGGCTGAAGAGGATCCTGGTCGATTACATGCTTCGGATGTCCTACTACGATTCCGCCACCAAGCTCGCTGAGACTTCAGGTATTCAGGTACAAGAATGGTTGGCAGTTCGCAGTAAGATTTTTTTTTTTCTGTTGATGTTTTTTTTTCTTTGTGAATTGTAATGCTGATGTAGAAATCTGGGATCAATATGATGTGAGAGGTTTCGAACTTTAGATATCTAGTTTAGTATGGGAAGCATATTGTTTTGAACTGACCTCCAACAAGGGGTAGACTTAAGTTGCACTACTTTGGTTATAAACCGATAGTATGATCTTTTCAAGGTACTCCCGCTTCCACAATCACGACGAATCCATTTGATCCAAGGGCTCAGTTTAAACATTGTAGCCTATTACCTTGTAGGTCATCCATGCCAATATGCCATTGAGGCTTTTCTTTATCAAAACATTTAGCATGAAAGGATATTAAACTTGGAAACCATCAATGCACCATTCGTCTCACTACGGTAGCCTCACATGGATGACTTGCTATGTGTCTAACAATGTGCATAAGCATACATCATGCATTTTGTTAGCCACTGTCTTTAACTCCCAAGGGGTAAGGATGGACAAACAGAGATTGCTGAAGTTGTTTAAGTAATTTTTTAAAGAATAAATATCTGTTAATATCCTGTATCACATTTCATCAGAAAGTTTAAATATAATGATTTGAATTTCCTAGTCTCCTTCTGGACACCTCATCTACTATGATTCCCACCATTCTATATTGGTGTTTGGGCTCCTACTCTGGTTAAATGTTCTTGCCTGAGCCATGTCTTGATTGACTTGGTTGTATGACTCAGTTTCCAGATGTTCTATGATATGCTACATATTATGTATGGCATTCCTCCTACCAAACAAACGAGATTACATTGGCTACTGATCTCACCTGCGACTTCTATGGCTTCCAATATCGAATTTCAATGCGATTGTATTTTACTGTTCTGTCATATTTTGATGTCTAGTTTCTCCTGCTTTTGTTCATTTAATAGTTAATTTGTTAAGTGTCTGTGAAACGGAATGGCATAATCTTCCTTATTTGTCTGACCTTTCCACCTTGCATGTGTTGTCCAGCTAACTTGCCAATTGTTGATATGCAGGAACTCGTTGATATTGATGTCTTCCTGGATGCAAAAAGAGTAATTGATTCTCTTCAGAATAATGAAGTTGCTCCTGCTTTAGCTTGGTGTGCAGAAAACAAGTCTCGACTAAAGAAATCGAAGGTTTGCTTGACTTTCTTCTGCCTTATTATTGGTCTAATTCGATCAGCATATTACTGGTGTTAGATAATGAATCTGCGTTATGATAGAACCATTGACAAATGGCTGACTGCGGTGATGCCATGAATGTCAGACCAGTAATGATTCTAATATTTCTTTAGACATTTTAATGTACTTGTTGAAATTGTTCATTTCTCTAATTGTTTCGTTGCTTCACAATGGATAAATTGATTCCAACATTTGTACTGACCGATGGCTTTACGATTACTATTATTTGTGGTTACCATTTTCCAAAGAAACCTGATCTCACTAGTTGATTAATTGCATGTCTTCTTTATGTATTTATCCCAATGCTTTTCTTTGTTCTATTGTATTTTGATTTTTGTTTATGCTTTTTATTTTTTACATTATGACTTTTGTTATGCTGCCTACAGAGTAAGCTCGAGTTTTTACTGAGGCTTCAAGAATTTGTGGAATTTGTCAAGGCTAAGAATTGCATTCAGGCTATAGCATATGCTCGAAAACACCTTGCTCCCTGGGGCTCTATACACATGAAAGAATTGCAGCGTGTCACAGCAACATTGGTTTTTAGAAGCAATACTAACTGTACTCCATACAAGGTTAGTATCATTTTCACTGTTCTCAGTTATGATATGCCACTGTGTCACAAATTGGACAACAGCTGGAGGTAGAAAAGCCCTGGTTCTGTATGGCATCTTTGGTTTGTAGCTGACAGTCAACTTGAGCTGAGACTCGAAAAGTCTTCTCGTGAATATGACACTTTAACCAAAGTATATTTGGTTCCTGGCTTGAGCATGGATTTTGAAATGGCCATGTATGGAGTCTGACGTTCATGCACTAGAAATGTTTTGCATAGCTGATACTGTTTTTTACTTGTAGATATTGTTTGAGCAAGACCGCTGGGACTATCTTGTTGAAATTTTCAAGCAAGATTTTTGCAAGTTGTATGGCATGACCCTAGAGCCGTTGCTGAACATATACCTGCAAGCAGGCCTGACAGCTCTCAAGACCCCGTATCCCTCACATGATTATCCCTTACTTTTCTCTACAGTCTTTTATCGCTAAAATATAGATTACTAGTATTGTTGTGGTTATGGTATCTTGTATTGTCCTTGACCATCTAAAGATTCTGCACTGAGGGTAGCTGCCCTAGGGAAGACCCCTTGTCCCTGGAGGGCTTCAGGAAACTAGCCGAGCCTCTGCCCTTCTCTAAGCAACACCACTCGAAGCTTGTCTGTTACATTACCAAGGAGCTCATGGACACTGAGAACCCGCCTCGGGTTCTGCCGAACGGCTATGTCTACAGTGAGAAGGTACACACTCAACCGAGCTGTTCTTTGTAAAGCTTCAGTTCAAACCATCGTGGCTCAGCTCTTGCTCTATATTTTGCCCGCAGGCGCTTCAAGAGATGTCCAAGAAAAATGATGGGAAGATTACATGCCCCAGGACAGGAGATGTTTGCGACTTCTCAGAGTGTGTCAGGGCTTTCATCTCCTAATCACGAAATACTCTGATTTGTGTGGCTTGGGAGTGAATGTACATAGAGTGGTCAGCGCATTGTGCGTCATGTTAAGTTAATTGAATTAACCTGCAATGTTAAACTGGCTGGATGTTAGAAGTACCTCTTCTGCCTCACGATTGTTGCATCTGTGAACTGTGAAACTGACGTTTTTCATGCTCCAACGCCTTCCAAAGTGGATCAACTGTATAACAGGGGGGGCTCCGATCCAAGTAAAGTTCAATTTTCAAAGCGAAGGCGTGAGAAGAATCACTGGATTTGAAAATGATTTGTGTCATATTTAGACACAGGTAAACCTCTGCACCATACTGCATTGAACGAGAATCAAACTGATTTCATTCTGAAAATTGCAATTGCAATGCAGGCTCGTCACCCATTGCGTTTTTTAAAGAATCGAGAGAAAATTGAACTTGAACATGGATGAATGACCATGCAAGTTCTTTGTGTTCACCCATTTAGAGCAGCGAAGACGGTAAGCGCTTAGGCGCTTTCCAGTCAGCCCATTCATTTATCTATGGGCCGCAAGAGATGAAGCAAATCAGCCCAGCCCATCAAACACGGACTCCAGCAAGATCCAGCCGTCAGATCCTCAAACCCCTAGATCCAACAGTCCACATCGTCTGCCTCCTCTATATAGGTGAACTCAGCCGCGAACACAGAAAACCTAGGCTCCACCCCCACCCAGCCGCAGCCAAACCCTACCCAGCCGCCGCCGTCGCCGCCGCCGCAGCGCGGAGGCGACCTCCCACCGCTGCCAAGATGCAGATCTTCGTGAAGACCCTGACGGGGAAGACCATCACGTTGGAGGTGGAGTCCTCGGACACCATCGACAACGTGAAGGCCAAGATCCAGGACAAGGAGGGCATCCCGCCGGACCAGCAGCGGCTCATCTTCGCCGGCAAGCAGCTCGAGGACGGCCGCACCCTTGCCGACTACAACATCCAGAAGGAGTCCACCCTCCACCTGGTGCTCCGCCTCCGCGGTGGCGCCAAGAAGCGTAAGAAGAAGACGTACACCAAGCCCAAGAAGATCAAGCACAAGCACAAGAAGGTGAAGCTCGCCGTGCTCCAGTTCTACAAGGTGGACGACGCCACCGGCAAGGTCACCCGCCTCCGCAAGGAGTGCCCCAACACCGAGTGCGGCGCGGGCGTCTTCATGGCCAACCACTTCGACCGCCACTACTGCGGCAAGTGCGGCCTCACCTATGTCTACAACCAGAAGGCGTAATCGCTTGCGCCAATTTGCTTTACCCGCCTACCTATCAAGCATTCACCTGTTGGTTACTCGAATTGAATCTCTTTTAGATCTGTCTGAAACTTAAATGGAGCAGTAGTATCTATCATATTGGTACCCCTGTTACTGAGTTGATGTGATGCTGAGTTTAATTTTGTTTTCGTATTCTATCCTTATCGACGGTTGCACCATTTGTCCGTTTCACTATCATTCATCATACGTAGGTCGATTATAGTAGTATTGCATAATTGATTAATTGCCTTCCTTAGCTATTGCTATAGCTTGATTAGCCCTGGGGTGGCAACTGGCAAGGGAAATGTTATATGTTTGCAGTTTGCTTGATTATTTTGATTGCCACTAATGTCTTGAGATGGCTACTATTTAACCATAATTGTGTGTATGCTTTGTTGATATAATTGTTTGTGCTAAGGATTTGTACCATTTTGTTGTGGTTTTATTAATGACTTAAGAACGCATTGTTTGAGTTGGCAGAATTGCTTGCTTTGCGGCTTTGCCTGTAGTGTTGTAACTTCCGATTGTTCTCAGCTGTGTTCATATTTTTGCTAATGACAAGTATTATTTTTTATCGTGATCTCAGTACTCCACCGACTAATGTTTTGTTTGCTTTGCCTGTAGTATTGTCAACTTGTGATTGTTCTCAGCTGTTATTGCTGGTTCATATTTTTGCTAATGACAAGTATTATTTTTTAATTGTGATCTCAGTACTCCACCTAATAATGTTTTGTTTGCTTTGGCTGTATTGCTGGTTCATTATTTTGTGATTGTGCAGCAGTCATAGATAGAATGGATTGCTTGTTTTAACAAGTCATAGTTTGTAGTACAATTCTTTTTAGGTCAGAAAGATTGTTGGGGTTGGGTCCTGGGATGTCGATGGCTGCAATTCTTTTTACAGTGTGTTGTTGCGTTCTTTAGCCTGTTTATACCATGTTTTGGGAGAGTAATGGTTCAATGCATGCAATTTTGTTCTCTTAGCCAGCGCAAGATGCAAAAAATGCTTCATACTATCCACATGTGACTGTTCAAGTAGGCTGTTGAATTGCAGGGTATGGTCATTATTGATATTATTGGGTGTGCTGTTCTCATGAACTGAATCAGCATGTGGTACTGAATTGAGTCATGTGCTCAAGAAGACTTGACCAAACCTAACATTTCTGCCAATTTTGAGCATTTCAAGTTCAGTGGAGTTGAGATCCCTCAAGGAGTCTTAAGTCACACTGATTTACTGAATTTGCAGTTACCTTGTTTTCTCTGTACCTTCTGTGAATTGTGAATCCTCTCAATGTGATTAAATTGGTCCCTTTTGGATTATTACTCCATAATGTCTGTAACTTTGGCATGATTGGTTAGCAACCAGCAGGCAAAGGCTGGTGTTTTGATACCATTTGATTTGTTTTTCCATCTGTAAGTTAGGCTGCGTATCCCGGACAAGTTCTATTGTCACTCGTATATATAGTTTCCCTTGGATCTTATGCACAGTTTGGTTACTTTGGTACGTACGATTCACATATCTTGTTTTTGCAAATGCCATTTGATTTGGAACGGGGTTACTTGCAGATTTAGGCTTTTGATTTGGTTCTTGTCCGTGGTGACCTCTATTTGGTCGTCTTGTGCGTTGTAGTCCGTGGTGGCTTTGAGTGACGGTGCGGACGGCGTTTATGTTCAACTGTGCCAAATTTGCCAAAGGCCTTGTGAAATTTTGTTAAAATGTGCTGTTTCAAAGAACGTGGTAAAAGCTGATAATCGTGAGCAACGCTCTGGATGATCAGCTTTTAACTTTGTCAATGTATGCATGATCAGCTTTGCACAGCACATGACACGGGCTGATCGTAGCGCATCAAAATGTTTGATCTGTATAGGATTTACATTTCGAATCGACACAACAATTCATGGCATTGATTAGTGCGTTCAGAAGGAAGAACGCCGATGTTCCGCCCCAGCCCAAAGGCCGTCGTCTCGCAACAGTCGAACTCGAAACCACTAGGTAATAGGTAGTCGATCTTATCAGTGACGTGGCAACCGAGACTCGACGAGGAGCCTCGCCGGGCCAAAAACTTCTTTTTCGCTCTGGTGTGTTGTGTGGACGTGTGGTTTCGGCACCACCTATTGTAAGGTCCCGCCGTCCGGCAAGGATCAGAATTGAGCAAGAATATATTGTAGGTTAGGTCAGGCTGTGGGATTGAAGGATTACTGTAAAGATGTCCAATTTGAACAGCTAATACGAGATGTTTTCTGGGAGGAGGATGCAGTAAAGATTTTGGCGATTCCAATTCAACCGGGGCAGGAAGATGTGATCGCCTGGCACTTTGTCAAGAAGGAAGTATTTAGTGTGAAATCAGCATACCATGTATTGGAGTATGAAGTATGAACCCACTAATCTATGAAGTATGAACCCACTAATCTATGCCATGAATTGGGGTGTTCATTCAAAATGTAAATCCTATACAAATCACAATTTGATGCGCTGATTAGCCCGTGTCATGTGCTGTACAAAGCTCATCATGCGGACATGTATACAAAGTTAAAAGTTGACCATCCAGATCGTTGCTCACGATTATCAGCTTTTACCAGGTTCTTTGAAACAGCACATTTTCACAAATTTTCACAAGGCCTTGGGGAAAAGCGACAAACATGAAGGAAATGTGTCTCCTTTTGTAACAAACAAATAATATGGATAACACGTAATCACGTATACATTAATATACATGGCTTCCAACTTCAAGTTGGTGCAAGGAACACCGAACACGCTAGGATGCCCCATTTCGGGACTTGAGTATCGGTATATAGCTTAAAAAAATTATTGTAGCGCTAAAGGACTTCGGGTGATATACACTTTCTTTTGCTGCCCAGTGTCTTTTGGGACTGCTGTGGTAATCCTAGGATTAATTACGTGTCCTTATAATGTTTTAAACTCTACCTCTCTTAATGAAATACGTACATCAGTGGTACGGTTAAGAAAAAAGAATTTCAAGGGGAGAGAGAAAAACGCAAGAAATATTATTTTCTTTGTTGTTGCAAAATCAATCAATCAAGCACCACTATCAAGGTGGTGTTCCTAGCACTCTATGCTCCACCATATTGCATCCATGCTTAGGACACCTTCAATATTAGCAATGACGAAGCCAGCGGTGGGGCTAGGGGGGTTTCAGCCCCCTACCGATCCTGAGCACGTGGAGTTCTCCTAAGTCATCTCTTAAAATTTTATGCATACATGTATTAAGTAGGAGGGGCTAAGGTTAAGAGAACAAAAAAAAGCCTCTATTCTTTTGTTCAGTCCCTCCTAATTTTTTTCCTGGTTTCGTCAGTGAATATTAGAGTTGACTTGCTAGCTCATATGAGCTTAAAAAAAAGATAAAAATGGAGTAGTCTAACATGCTAGTACGAAAAAAATGTGTAAACATAAACACGTGAATTATAGAAAATTGTACGAGCTTAACTCTTCATGAAAAGTTAACTTATCCTTTTATCTTTTTATTGAATAAAATATTCTATGAGCCAGTGTTTTAACACTTTGGAGCTGCCCTTAGAACACATAAAACTCGAGCATCTTTAGTGTGCATTCCAAAAGCGGTGCCAAGTGGAGAGAGAAGCCTCTACCAAACTTTCGAGTGCAGAGGTGCAAAGGACAAAGCTTAGCATAGGCGCAATAAACTTACCCACAGGTGCAAACGATTAAAAACTTATTTCATTTACTGAAGAGTGCCTACCAATTGAGCTAGCAAGTTGATGGAATTTTGAATGAAGAGTATGTAGTTGGCAATGTGAGTTCCATAGCAAGATGCTAACCTGTTTACACACGTCAAAGATATAAGCTAAGCAAGCACCGCATAACATGATCGACCTTAACTTATCTCTTTCAACAATACGTTGAAGTTACTCGGAGGGCAGCTCCCACAGTGACTTATAAGCTAGCTTTAAATATTTAATTTTATATTTTAATGGAAGAGAGAGAAAAACTATCCTTTGATGAAGAGCTAGTCTTATACATATATTTCAAATTTATTTGAGGTTGTCACGTGGGCCTAGTTATATCACGAGCTAAGATAAAAATTAACATCGTTAAAAAGGTTGTCTTAGAGCAAGCAACTGACTACGCATTGTGAGGGTGCTCTTATAGTTCAGTATACATGGTTAACCCAACCAAGTTAACACAACTAACAAAGTTCCAGCCAATCAACACAATCTATGATTAAATCTTTAAAATTTAACCAAATTTCATGCTTCGAAAATCAGGTAGCCACAATAACTTCAATCAGTTGCCTTTTCAATTGTTTTTTCTCCTGCAGTCCTGCTCTTCCAACTGGAGGTCAGGAATCCACCAGCTTGGAGGGAAATGCTTACGTGGCAAAGCCCAAGCCAATTGGCAGTTTGGCATCTCTCCGGATTCCAGATAAACAAGGGTACCCAATAAACAACCACCCCACGTTACCGCCACGTAACAACTCCCCCAAGCCGTCGGCCGGTATGGCGACCGCCACCGCCGCCACCGTCCCCGCCGGCGGCCGCCCGTACCGACGCGCCCGCGCTCGCTGCGGCTCACCGCGCCTGCACCGCCTGCGCTTCCCGGCCACAGCCGCGGCCGCGGCCGCTGCCGCTTCGTCTTCCCCGCCCGCCCCGTCGTCCACGCTGCCGCCGCTGCCAGCAGACGGAGGCGGGCGGCTGGTGGCGGAGCTGGTGTGCGCGTTCAACGAGCTCACGGAGCGGATGGGGGAGGACCTGGCGACGTCCTCCTCGTCGCGCCTGCTCTTCCGCGCGCTGAAGCTGGCGCTCCCCGCCCTCCGCGACGTGGACGGGGGGCGGGCACTCGCGCGCGCGCTCGCCGTCGGCGCCACCCTCGCTGACCTCCAGGTAACGTGTCGTACCCGAATGCCACCTCCTCCGTTCCATTTTTGGTGCAAAAGTTCGTCTCTTTGGAGTACAGGGTTGGGTTTGTTGGTTATCTGATGATCTGAAGTCAGCCTCTTACTTTTGGGAATCTTGGCTCCAGTTCTTCTTGTATTGTGCAAAACTTGGATATTGCCAATATTGGAACAAGAATATAGCTTATCTAACAAACGAGTGTTAGCTTAATTTTCCAAGTTTGGTGTAATGTATAGGTATATTTCAATCTGAGATGATTCATCGATAGGATTTAGGCATTATGATCGTTCCAACAAGCCATCAACATATACATTATCCGTCTCTTAAATGAGTGAAACCTTTCTGCTGGAGTGCATACATTAGCTTGTTGACTAACCCATGTTTCTTTAATGTTATGCTACAGATTACTCTGTTCACTTAACAAAGTTAATATACTTACATTTCCCAATGAAACAAGGGACCTCTCTTGAATCAGAACTTACATTTCCTGCGTTTCGTAAATTGCACCTGTTTCCCCCATCAAGCTCTCAAATCTTACCAGCAGGCTTTTGAATTGAACGCTGAAAACAGATGGATGCTGAAGTCATATCAGCTGGCATACTAAGAGAAGCATTAGATACAGGAGCTGTAAGCATGAGGGATGTAAAACTCAGATTGGGACCAGCACAGCTCATTTGCTGCATGACAGCTTAAGGATTAAGCATTCTCCTTCAAGCTTGACGTATTGGATGATGAAAGTGCAAGCGCATTGAGAAGGTTTATTCTTTCATACTATGACATCAGGGCAGTGATATTGGAGATTGCACTAAAGCTTGATATGATGCGACACCTTGATTACCTCCCTAAGTATCTGCAGCAGATAAAATCTCTTGAAGTCATGAAGATATACACCCCACTTGCACATGCTGTTGGAGCGGGTAATCTATCACTAGAATTAGAGGATCTTTCATTTCGTTACTTGTTTCCTCATTCGTATGACCATGTTGATCAGTGGTTGAGAAGCCAAGAAAGTGACTGCAAGGCCATAATAAATTTGTACAAGGAGCAGTTGCTTCAAGCACTGCAGGCTGATAATGAGTTGAAGAGGATTGTACAGGACATCTCAATTCAAGGGAGGTACAAAAGCCGTTTCAGTACTATGAAGAAGCTAGTAAAAGATGGTCGGAAACCAGAAGAAGTTAAAGACATACTAGGTTTGCGGGTAATCTTGGAGCCTCGATGTGATGACAATTCATCCGATTGGGGCCCTAGGGCTTGCCTCAGGACATACGAAATTATTCAAGCTATGTGGAAGGAAGTCTCGGGTAGAACAAAAGATTATATAACTCACCCAAAAAGAAACGGTTACCAGAGCTTGCATGTGGCCATCGATGTCAGTGAACCTGGGAAGGTGAGGCCATTAATGGAGATACAGATACGCACCAAGGAGATGCATAGGTTTGCTGTTGGTGGAGAGGCATCTCACTCTCTCTACAAAGGTGGTCTTACTGATCCTGAAGAGGTAAAAAACTACCCTAGTTCTAGTTCTGCTCCTTCTATTACATTACACTAAGTTCTTGGATTTAGCAAGTTTTGAAAGTTGGGTTTTGACATAAACAAGTGTTTTTCATTGACAACAGAGACAGAAAACAATATACTAAACTGAAATGATGTTATATGGGCATTGCTTAGAACCACCATTTCTTCTTATGTTGTCCAATGTCCAGGCTAAAAGGCTCAAGACTATTATGTTGGCATGCAGCGGAGTTAGCAGCTCTGCGTCTACACGAGACCTACCAGGCAGTGATCACGGAGCTGGGAACTGCAAGAACCCGGCTTTCTGTCAGCTTGACAAAAATGGGGACGGGAGAATCAGCATCGAGGAGCTCACTGAGGTGATGGAGGATCTAGGCGCTGGAGGCGAAGACGCAACAGAGCTCATGCACCTTCTTGACGCAAACAGTGATGGCTCCTTGAGCTCTGACGAATTCGAGTCATTCCAGAGACAGGTAGTTTTAAGTTAAATATATGTGCAGTGATCATTTAGGTACATAATTGTGAAACTGGCCTGGAGGGCGGAAGTGAGATTTTGATATCCTGTACATGTCTTTGTTTACCAGATTGAAATGATGAGAAACTTGGAAGATGATGACGATCACTACAGGAAGATCTTGAAGGAGAAGCTGCACACGATCGACAGTGCAGGTCTCATCCATGTCTATCGCAAGGAGCTCAGTGACAAGCTGCTTGTGGGCTGACCTGGAACTCAACACAACTTACCAAACCGAACAGCCATCTTACTGTAGTTTTGCATGTATACCACACCGAGAAGTGACCCCAGCACTGATTTGTAAATAGTCGTCGAATGTACATGGTATCATATATGATTGAGAAAAAGGAGGGGCTGCAATACTGGCTGAATGTGGATGGTGTTGTATATGATTCAAAAAAGGGGCAAGCTGTAATACTCGCTGAATTATATGATTCAGAAAAAGGAGGTGCTGTTTGTTGAGTTCTGTATATGATTCAGAAAAAGGGTGGGGCGGTGGTCTGTAATACTCGCTGAATGTGGATGGTGCTGTATATGATTCAGAAAAAGGAGGTGCTGTTGATTTTTTAGCTTGGTACTGAAACCGGAGTGGTGATTCTGAATTCAAGGGTTCTATAGAAGAAAAACTTATTCAATTTGATATCCTGGAAAAAAGCAGAAAACTTATTTAATTCAAAATCCTATATATTAAAAGGAGGCAAATTTGCTTTTTTTTTTTGAGTGGAAGGAGGCAAATTTGCTAGTTTGTACGGGCTTTGCACACATATTTCAGCCCACTTAGACGGCGGTACGTACACCCACCCGTCCAATCGGCCCAAGTTTGTTTTGGACGCGGCCCTCTGTCAGTCACAGGGTGTTTTGGTAATTCGGGCTTCCGGCGACCTGCCTTCCCACAACCACAAGCGCAACCGCACGGCCGGGGGCGCGCCGCTGCTCTGCTCCACCGTATAACGGTGAGGATCACGCCATCACGGCGAGCTAGAGACGTCGAGTGAGGCTAATGCGGTCATTGGGCGCAGCAGCGCCAGAGAAAGGCCGAGTGGGGAAAGCTTCATACCGTCATGCGATCGAGGTGCTCGACGAAATGGCCACTTGGCCAGGCTCACTCAAGGGGCGTCCCGCGGGCCGTTCAGATTTCAGAAGGCAGCAGCCATTCTCATCCTTGGGCTCAGAGGAGAGGTCACTTCAGGATGCCAGAGGTGGCCCAGGCTGTTGATGCGCAAGAGCCAAAGAGCAGAGGACATGGTAAGAGGTCTCTATTCCTGATCCAATGTCGTAGCTTTCAGGAGCTTGACGGGTGGTATGTCTCTTTGCAGGAAGGTCAGTGAGAACTGGAGAAGATGCCAATGGGAAATTTGCTTCCTGAACACCGTGACACATGTACCTGTGTTCCATGTCATTGCGACAATGTCCTCCACAGAATATGCAGGCAGCCAGACACGGGTACTGAAATGAGAATTTATGCCAAGTGGAAGAGCTCGTGCAAGACTCGGTTTTTTTATGGCCATCACCACCTACCTGCAGGAAGCTTCATGTAATCCACTCTCTATACGCATCCTCTGAAAAAACAACACTTTTTTTTGACAAACCATCTGTTCAGCAAATTGACTTGTATTCTTTTAAAAAAATTGACTTGCTCCTCTGGATGTTACTCTCGGCAGGTTAAGGAGCCAGCTAGAATGCACTGTTAAGCACTGTTGGTGTGGCGACTAATGGTAAATTTGCACTACAGCTGTTGAAATGGCATACTTTAGCTCACATTTGTACTTCATGTCGAGCTATTCTTGGCTTCTCTTTCAAAATTCATGGGTTTCATATCAAAATACCATAATAACTATGCAGAAAATCAGGGGTCAGATAGAGATGGAATACAAAGAGATCATATGCTAATATTAGACAAGCGTGTGCACACACACGCACCCAAGTAAAACCCCCATCTTCAGGAAACTGGTTCAAACATGTCCAGCAAGGGGTTGGCACCGCATCTTTCAACACCTTTGAGGGCAAAAGTTGCTTGTTAATAAGGCAACGGAACGTCATGCTTATAATTTGCATGTATTGATGCTTGTGGAGAAAGTTACGAAAATATAGCTCCATAGTGCAAGTCGCAAGCAACAGAAAAGGGAAGGAAAAACAGTCCTTCCTGAGTTACTGAAGGTCACAAGCAATACCTGTTTAAGGCTTACTTTTTCGTAACCTTTCAAATCAGACTTGTCAGCATTGACTTCATTTTTTTCCTTTGATAATAACAATGCTTAGCAAACTGGAAAGCTCTATAAATAATGATGATGTGAAAAAGCAGAAGGGGACAGCTATAGCAGCTTACAGTGATGACAAGCTTTCTTCACTTATAGTTGCTGTTCCATGGTGTGAACAAATTAAAAGCACAATGACTTTCTAACCGTTGTCTGACATGGCACTGAGTTGTACTAACACAATACAAGCATCAATGGTTTTTTCCTTTATGATGGAAAGTGTATTTTTCCTACAATGAAGATTTTTAAATTTCACTGCATTTCAGAACTTTGTGCATTTTTCCATGAATATCTTCATATTTTTCAAATTCTGTATCAGTCCCTTTCTGCTAATGGGGTACAAGTTTCACCTTCAAACTTGTGTGAAAATTGAGGTTTCATCTTGTTGAATTATAAAGTTCTCTTCTGCAAGAGAGCAACTACACAGCCCCAAGTACATATTGACGGTCATTAAACACAATAGTATTTATGATTTGCAATATGGATTAAACATTGTTTTAAATAGTTTGATTCACTGATAGTCACTATCAGTTGCAATTTTAGAGGACTTATGGACAAACTGGGTCAAATGGATTTGACAAGTTGGTGTGGACATATCTGTTAAGTAATCTGCTACTCCCCTGTATGAACACGCGGCAGGGACATGCGCCGAAAGGCTCCTTGCTGCTGCACTGTAGCCGCTGCAGGGGCATGCACCGAAAGGC